AGTAATTAAATAAAGTAAAATGCATTAAAAAATTGAAATACAAATTTTGTGAAACTTCATAACAAGAGAACAGAAAGCGTCACTAAAGTAACGATTATCTCGTTGGAAATACCATTATTTTACCTTTATTTTGCGTGTTTAATGATCAAAATAACTTACTTGGTTGTCGAGTAATTAAATAAAGTAAAATGCATTAAAAAATTTAAATACAAATTTTGTGAAACTTCATAACAAAAGAAAAGAGAGCATCACTAAAGTAACGATTATCTCGTTGGAAATACCATTATTTTACCTTTAATTTGCATGTTTAATGATCAAAATAACTTACTTGGTTGTCGAGTAATTAAATAAAGTAAAATGCATTCAAAAATTGAAATACAAATTTTGTGAAACTTCATAACAAGAGAACAGAAAGCATCACTAAAGTAACGATAAGCTCGTTGGAAATACCATTATTTTACCTTTAATTTGCGTGTTTAATGATAAAAATAACTTACTTGGTTGTCGAGTAATTAAATAAAGTAAAATGCATTAAAACAAAAAATTGTGAAAATTTAACAGCTTATAAGAAAAAAATGACGTACAGCAGAAATCTACGAATTGGCTCATTGGAAACACAACAGTTTCATCTATAATTCACTCTTTCAATTATCCAATTAGTTTGAGTGATTGTCGAGTAATTCATTAAAAAGTGAAGACATGAAACAAAGTTTTCCAAAACTGTGTACGCCACTGGGATCGGTTGTGCTGACTTCAAGGATTCCTGAAAATAAATCAAACTGTCTGCGATCTTATCTCGATTGTCTTTTCTCACGATTGTCCATTTATTGTTTAGTATTATAAATGTTTACACTTTTAATTGATTTATTAATGTTTACATGTAAATTTATTAATATACACAAAAAAAAAATTGGTTCAAATGGATTGGATCCAAGTCAGCGTTGTTCACGGGCGTCGTCTCGATTGTTTTGAGGGTTTCGCTGTATCATCATGATATCGTCTATGTACATTTGTCGGATTATGCGGTGACCTCTGCTCTCCTCGAAAGCTAAAGAAAATTTGTTTTAAAAAGAAAAAAAAGTGGAATTTTAACGAAAGTGTTGGAATCTTATCTAGGATGGGAATAGTTTTGCTAGAGGCAAAAGTGTTAAAATGTAATCTTAAGACTATTGAAATTAAGGAGATTAGTTAATTGGAAGTTAGTGTTCTTTTCTTTTGATAGTTGGCAGATCAATTTAGAGCAGAGATGAAGTACGGTCAGTTAAAAGGAGAATCGGTTTGTGTTCTGCGACTAATCGTAAATGAATTGGACCGGTCGTCGATGACGATAAATCTACCTTCCTGTAGGCAAATACAGAACGGATAATTCATCGTCGTCTTCATCATAATCATCTCAGTCCATAATTCCATTAAGTAATACAGTTACGTTGTCTTCCTACGCGCGCATAAAACATATTCGGCGCGCGCGATCACCATTTATTATTATAATAAAAAACATAAAAATTAATAATTAAACTCTCCGTTCCACTTTAACACAACACCTCCTTTTATTTTTTTTTTTGATGATGATGAAATTGTTTCAAATAAAGTCATCACAGCTCACTAGATAAATGACCGAATTCTCACGCGCTTTTTTTTTGAAATTTATTACTTATCGATTAATCGAAGAATATTTATTCAGTCGCACGATTTCAACTATGACCTTTCGTTTATTAATTTCTTTATTTTCAAATTTTTAGATTTATTGCAGGTTTTTTTTTATGGGATTTTTTTTTTCTCTTACCTCTGATCGCTCTCCTCGCATCGATTCCCATCATCTCGACCATGTATTTGCAGATGAAGTAGCCGGTTCTGTTAAGGCCATGCGTGCAGTGAACACCGATAAGTCCTTTTGGTGAAGAAAAGAAAAACAAGAATTAAAATATTATCATGTAGTGCACATAGATTTTAACGTATAACTTAAAAAATAATGAAGGTAACTAGAATGCTATATACTCAAATTAAAGCTAAAACTATATAGATTATGATGGTTTGAAAATTATAATAATAACACTTTTGGTTTTTACATAATTAATTTTTTTAAATTAAGGTTACGAAATTTCTATGCTTCATTAGATTTTAACGAATAATTTAAAAACTATATGATATAAATCAAATATAAATGACACAAATTAATGCTAAAACTATGTAGATTCAAATATATTTAGAATAATAATTGTGGTGCAGAAGAATTGTTAATTTTCTTAAATATTAAAGTCATGAAATTTTTAAATTGGATTTTGTTGTGTACATAGATTTTAGCGTTTAGCTCCAAAATTAATAAAGGTAACTAAAATGCAATATACTCTAATTAAAGCTAAAACTATATAGAATATAATGTTTCAAAAATTATAATAATGACTCTTTTGGTTTTTACATAATTAATTTTTAAAATTAAGGATACGTAATTTCAATGCTTAATTAGATTTTAACGTATAACTCAAAATCTATATGATGTAAATCAAATATAAATGACACAAATTAAAGCTAAAACTATGTAGATTGAAATATATTTAGAATAATAATTGTGGTGCTGAAGAATTTTTTTTTTTTTTTTAAGATTAAAGTCATGAATTTTTAAATTGCAATTTGTAGTGTACATAGATTTTAGCTTCTAGCTCCAAAATTAATAAAGGAAACTAAAATGCAATATACTCTAATTAAAGCTAAAATTATATAGATTATGATGGTTTAAAAATCATAATAATGACACTGTTGGTTTTTACATAATTAAATTTAAAGTCATCAAATTTTTAAATTCGAATTTGTAGATCTAGCTCCAAAATTAATAAAGGTAACTAGAATGCAATATACTCAAATTAAAGCTAAAATTATGTAGATTAAAAAAATAGAATTATTATTGTGATGCTACTAAATTATATGCAACAATTGTTAAAGATTATAGTCATGAAAATGCGAAAAATTTCAATATGTAGTGTGCATAGATTTTAGCGCATATCTCAATAATTATTCAAGATAGAGAGAATCCAAAATACATAAATTGAAACAAAAACTATAGAGAATTCAATATAATCAAAACTTTCATAATCATACTTTTCATATTTTATATAATTTAGTTTTAAATTTCCAAATTACCAAAAACAGATTTTAGATTTTAACGAATATCTCAAAAACTATATTATATAGAAATACTACAAATTACGCAAATTAAAGCTAAAACTATGTAGATTAAAAATTAGTTTAGAATTATTATTGTAATGCGATTCAATTTCACGTAATACTTGTGTAAACAATAAAGTCATGAAGTTGAAAAATTGAAATATGTAGTGTACATAGATTTTAAGGTATAACTCGATAATAAATGCAAATAGAGAAATACTTAAATACATAAATTAAAGCTAAAACTATAAAGAATTAAAGATAATCAAAATTTTCTTAATGATACTTTTAATTTTTTATATAATTTATTTTTAAAATTCACGAAATTTTTAGATTTTACATTTTAGCGAATATCTCATCAACTACATTATGTAGATATAATATAAACCACGCAAATTAAAGCTAAAACTATATAGATTACAATGATGGAATTATGATTGTGATGTTTTTAAACATTATTTAAGAATTGAAGTCACGAAATTGTAAAATTTAAATATGCAATGTACATAGATTTTAGCGTATAATTATGGAATTATTGAAGATAGTTGATAATTGAATATATATAAATTGAAGCTAAAACTGTAGAGAATTAAATGTAATTAAAATTATAACGATTGCTCTTTTCATTATTGTATAATTAATGTTTAAAATTACTAAATTACATTTTAGTGTATATCTCAGAAAGTAGTTAATGTAGTAAATTACACAAATCAAAGCTAAAACTGATGCAAGTGAAGGAAGGTATAAGGATAAGAAGCGGTATTGAAACCATGACGACGACGACGTATCGATGGGTCTCGTTGCGTAAGAGAGCAATAACGCGAGTATAAATTGGGATTCGGTGTGCCCTGGCCGTAATTTACATACCAATTATTTATTATAATACGTTTCTATGGTGAGGAGAGTATAGAGAGAGAGAGAAAGAGGGAAATTGAGTGGAAAGAAGCGAGAGGAGAGGAGAAATTCAAATGAATGCGATAAAGAGAAACCAATTCTGGATAAGGAAGGTCCAGCGGGATGACGAAGAAACGAGAAAATTACGCTTACGAAATTTCTAGTTTTCCAAGCATGCATAGAAAAAAACAAACTTAAAACTAAAGAATTAGTAGTTGAAGTAATAAATTTGCAAAATCATTTACAGATTAGTTAAAGATTGAATGCAATTAAAAAGTAAAGAGTTTTAATGATGTTGATTATGATGATGGTAATTGGGGCAGTGGGCTGATTCATTCCGTCCCTAATCATATCACGCATACCACGCGTTTATAAACGAAGGTGAGTCGATCAGAAAAAAAAAAGTAAGTAAATAAACTTGCCAGGAATGCCAACGGTTATATAATTAATGGTATTAAATGTTGGTATCTTGGAGGTGCATCATCGGTTATTGATTCTTTCTTCTTTCTTTTTTTTTTCTGATTCGTGAAGAAAGGTGAATCGTATCGTCCTTGCATTAGTCGCATCCACCATTAATATTACAACAACTCTCTTTTTACTCTTTCTTCATTTCTCTTCTGATTTAGTTTATAGTGTGTGTGTAGTGTAGTGTAGTGTAGTTTAGGTAGGTAGGGAATGCGTATCGAAGTCGCGGTGAATATATTAATATTTCTCGGTAATCGGGCCGCATTGATATTTCGATGGCATCAATCATCGCAGCGTCGGCCTCCTTGACGTAACGGTAACGTAACGTGGAGGTAGCGTCGTATCAAGAGGACTGCACTTGTTGTTGTGTACACTTCGCCGGAGACAAAGACTCTCTCTCCTCTCTGGGTGGTAGAGAGAAAGGTAGAGTTATCAAGCGCGCTCTTCTTGTACGATACGATCCAAAATGTATCTCCAAAGAGACACACACATGAAGACAGACAGAGAGAGTAGTGGAGTAGAGTGGTTGGCAGTGTAGTTAGTAGTAGTAGTAGTAATAGTACATTAGGGCCGTTTTGTAGCGTTTATCGAAACGCCCCAGATCTCCTTCCACTCTCCTCTTTTCCTTTTATTACCACAACCACCTACAAGACGCATTTAGAAAGCTAACATCATCACCATGAGAAAACAAACAAAAGCAAACAAACATTCAAGTGCTTTTGTTTCAGCAGCCAACACATTTTGTTTTCTTTTTTTGACATATCCAATTATCAATTTATTATCCACTCAAATTGAACATCAGATTTTAACATATATCTTTAAAACTACTTAAGATATATACAAACTAATATACACAAATTAAAGCTAAAACTATATAGATTCAAATATGTTTAAAATTTTAGTTAGTTTAGTTACGTTTCATTTTCTTTTTGAAGTAAATTTTTGAATTTATATAAATTAGAAACATGTAGTGTACATAGATTTAACGTATAATTCAAAAACTAATTAAAGTAGACGACATCTAAAGTACACTAAGTGAAGAATTAAATGCATTCGAAATTACATTTATAAAACTTTTGGTTTTCTTGGAACAAATTTTTAAAATTGAAATTTCCAAGCAAAGAAAATTCGAAGAGTCTGTAGTATTTGATGGAACGAGTTTTTTCGTTATTATAAATTCCATTGGTCACTTTAGATTTTAGCTTATAACTCAAAAACTAATTAAGTTAGAATCAATCCAAAATACACGAATTAAAGCTAAAACTATATAAATTCAAATAAGTTTATAATTATAGTTTTGCTATACGTTTCATTTTCGTTTTGAAGTAATTTTTTTTAATTTATATAAATTAGAAATATGTAGTAGTGTACATAGATTTTAACGTATAATTAAAAAAATAATTAAGGTAGACGCAATCTAAAATATACTAATTGAAGATAAAACTATGCCGAATTAAATGCATTCGAAATTACATTAATAAAACTTTTGGTTTTCTTGGAATACATTTTTTAAATTAAAATTTCCAAACAAAAAAAAATCTAAGATTCTGTAGTATTTAGCGTGTAAGTTAAAAATTACTGTAGGTAGATACAAATTAATGTATACGAATTTAAGTTAATAAATGTGCAGTTAACTTGATTGAACTTGACGTCTAACCAATGAGTAGCATCAATTCTAGAGAAAAAAAAATCGACATTTTGTTTTGTTTACAATATCACGACGAATCGCAGCTGCCTTGGACGTTTATTGGGCCACGAAAAGAGTGCAAATAAGATAAGAGAGTGGCAAAAAAAAATTTAGGCAGTTGCAGCTGCGAATCAAATCGTCAAATGCAAAAAGAGGGATCAGCAAACACACGAGTTTTTTCGTTATTATAAATTCTATTGGTCTCTTTACATTTTAGCTTATAGCTCAAAAACTAATTAAGTTAGAATCAATCTAAAATACACGAATTAAAGCTAAAACTATAGAGAATAACATTTGATTAATTATTTTTACTTAATATGTTTCTTTTGACAAAAAAAATAATTATCAAACACGAAAATGTTGTCACTTTAGATTTTAGCTTATAACTCAAAAACTAATTAAGTTAGAATCAATCTAAAATACACGAATTAAAGCTAAAACTATAGAAAATAATAGTTGATTAATTATTGTTACTTAATTTGTTCTTTTTTGACAAAAATATAATTATCAAACACGAAAATGTTGTCACTTTAGATTTTACCTTATAAATCAAAAACTAATTAAGTTAGAATCAATTTAAAATACACGAATTAAAGCTAAAACTATAGAGAATAATATTTGATTAATTATTTTTACTTAATAAGTTTTTTTGATAAAAAAAAATAATTATCAAACACGAAAAT